GGGGGGGGGTTGGGCCCCCGAGATCGAGAGATTCTGGAAAGAGGTTTTTTTTTAAAAAACGTAGACGTTTTTTAATTCGTCGATTAACTGGAGAAACTGTTCGAGTTCACTGGTACGTCGGCTGTTTGGGACGACAGTCCCAAAAAGGACGAAAATTCAGGTGGAAACCAGTCCCAGATTCGAAAGTAACGAGGAACAAAGAACGAGGGATCGGGTGCCTCGAAAGCAGCTGCGTTTTTTTCGCGAGGTTGCATGTCGGGACCGAGACCGAGATTATACGGAACGGGTCCCGTGGATGGACCCACGGACAAACGTTTAAATCGCTAAACGTCGAATTAGACGCCGGCCCGGTAAGAAATAATAGCCGTGGATAGATAGATAGGAGGATTGGAACTAGGCTGCCGGTATTTCGGTAACGTTCCTCCCGTCGTTCTATCGGGCAGCTGCGATTTCCTCTGGGGGAGGAGGGCGCGCTACCCTTCTCCTCCATCCCGAGAATTAATTCGGGACCCCGGTAATCAACCCTATCATCCACGATCGAACGGAGGGGGAGCGCGTGTCCGTGGGTCGCGGCTCTCGTTTTTCTCGATCGTGGAACGTTTTCTGGACACGGTCGTTAAGACCGTGGAAATTTGGGCCTTTCGGTTTTTTGCCGAACCGGGAATCGGTTCCACCGGTGAATCGGCGTGGCGTGCAAGAGTTGCGGTTAGGGTTGGAAAGAGTTTGAAAAATTTCTTTCCGCTTCTTATGTTGGGAATCGAATAGGTGAGCGAAGCTTTTCAAACTTTTTTAAAAATTTCTATAGCTATAAAGATTTTTTCTTTTAGTTATCGTTCGATCGAGAATTTCGAAAGGTTCTTTCTCTTCAGCTACGGATTAATGACGACATAAACTCGAATTTTTTTGCTTTGCTTCAGTTACAGGTCAATGATGAGATAAAATCGAATTTCGAAAATTTCTTCTTTTTCTCAATGACGACATAAACTCGAATTTTTTCCTTTGCTTCAGTTACAGGTCAATGATGAGATAAAATTTCTTCTTTTTCTCAATGACGACATAAACTCGAATTTAGAAAATTTTTTCCTTTTCTTCAGCTTAATGACGACATAAACTCGAATTTCGAAAATTTTTACTTTTTTTCCAGCTCAATGACGAGATGAAATCGAATTTCGAAAATTTCTTCCTTTTCTTCAGCTATATTTCAATGACGAGATAAAATCGAATTTCGAAAGTTTCTCCAGCTATAATTCAATAACGACATAAAGCTGAATTTTGAAAATATCTTCCTTTTTTCCAGCTATAGCTCAAAATAAAATCGAATTTCGAAAATTTCTTCTTAAGTTACAAGTCAATGACGAAAGATAAAATCGAATTTCGAAAGTTTCTCCAGCTACAATTCAATGATGACATAAAACTGAATTTCGAAAATTTCTTCTTTTTCTCCAGCTACAACTCAATGACGAGATAAACTCGAATTTCGAAAAATTTCTTCTTTTTCTCCAGCTCAATGACGAGATGAAATCGAATTTCGAAACTTTCTTCCTTTTCTCCAACTGCAATAACATAAACTCGAGCTTCGAAAATGGAAAAACTACTCCCACCTTCGAGAAAGTACCATACTTGAAAGAGCTCCGTACGTTCCTTCCATTCCCTAGCTCCATTCCAGCATCGAAGCGAGGTCGATTAAACGCGTTCTCGCGCACCATCACCGTCACTCGACGGTGGACCACACACCGAGGCCGGGTCACTTCGAGTCAGTAACATCAATTAGCATTCGCGAGCGGTCGGCGAGCGGGCAATGGCGACCTGAAAGAGGAGGAGGAGGGGGAGGAGGGGGAGCGAGAAAAGGGGACGCGGCCGTGCTCTCGTAAATGGGCGCGGATCTATCGGCCGGTGGACAAAAGGGGGGCCGTGGGGGCCCATACAGTTGCCACGATGACATATGAGCCACCGCTCCCTCATTGTGTCCCCTTGAATAAAGCTTAAATTGGGCGACCGGCCGTTCCAAAGCTACTGTGAATATCGCCGCTGATACGTGCCCGGTTGGGACCTGGTTCCGCCGATNNNCGGCCGACCCGGATCGCGAGCATCGTCCTCGCCGCGTGAAAATTTTTCAATCAAGGCCCCCCTTTCTCTCTTCGCTGCTCCAGTGTTTCGAGGCTCTTTTTCTTCGACTATTCTGGATTTTTTGGGAGGACGATTAGTTGGATTAGTTGAGAATGGAAAGTAAAGGAAGGTGAATGTAAAGGTATTTAGTAGAGGATTTCAATTTTTAAACGAGTTGTTTTTAAACAAGTTGAAGTTATTTTTTGGAATGTGGAAAAGATTCGAGAGCAGAAGGA